CACAAACAATTAATATGCAACAACAACAATAAAAACAGCCCTGCACAATCTTCCATACTATTCCCATGAGCCTTTGTTGGTGTATAGGGGAAGTTTGAGGAAAGCCTTCATGAAAAAGAAAAAAGAGAAGCTAGCAGCCACCCTCAGATTTCTCCAAAACCTTTGGCAGAAAGAAAAAAATCCATTCTGAATATGAAAATACCAAGATGGAGAACCAGTGGGCTAAGGCATCATCTTCAGGAAAGGGGCTTAAACACCTGTGTGCTGAGGGAACAGTCTCTGAAAGGTGTCACAACTGGAAGAACCAAAGGGCAAAAGCAAAGCGCACACACGATGACAGGGTGGTGAAAAGGAAATGAGACAAAAATGAAAATTTTGGGTCCCTTTGAGACACACAGAAGTCACACAACTCTGCTTACCACCAGCTCCCATTCAGGGCAGCCTCCGAGGGCACAGCAACCTGGAGTGGGGTAGGCAGTGGTTATGGATGAACAAATAGAAAACAGCCAGCCCAGGGGGAGACTGGGAAACAGGGAGAAAGTGGAGGGTCACTGAGCACGTTGGGGTCACTAACTACAAGATGAAAAGGTGAAAAGGGTACAGTGAGTGGGTAAAAACAGGAGCTGATTTAAGCACAGCAAAGGGGACATTAGAAGGGGCAAGAAAACCAGAAGTGAAGATGTTTAAAAGGCGTCACTCTTGTCAACAGTGAACCCATCATTCATTGATGATGCCACATTTTGTTTGTTTGGTTTTGGTTTTTCTCCGGTACCGGGAACCGAACTCACGACCTTGCGCTTGCCAGGCAGGCGCTTTGCCTCTGAGCTAAATCCCCAGCCCCAATGATGCCACATTTTAAGATAGTTGGGAGATAGTGGTACAGGTACCAAGTCCCTCAGTAAACATGGATGAGTAACCAGGAGTAGACTGTAATAATAAGCAGCAAATGGGTCATATGGGCAGCTTGATTTTGTAGACAAATCTTGCTGGACACAGGTATCTGTTGTTGTTTTCCCTTACTCTGTTGTACAGGTTAATTATTCCCCATCTGAAATGTTTGAGAACAGCAGCATTTCAGATTTTGGACGTTTGGATTCTGGAAAATTTATGTATACGTAATAAGATATCTTGGGGATCTTATTTTTTGTATTCATCTTTAGATGCCTAAACCAGTCCCCATTTCTTAAAGATTTCAGCCTTTAACTCACTGTCACTCATTTTTAAGACAAATCCCCATGCTTCTTGGTGACTTCATTATCTATGTGGCTCTTCTGAGGCCTCCTGCCTCCCAATAATCCTACCGTTTTCCTTCTAACCTCTCATAAACATAATTCTGTCCAACCCCATGCAGCGCAAACACTGTCTTTGTACTGTGTAGGTAATGTTATCCACGTTACTAACTAACCCCCAAATATAAAGTCACAGACATGATGGAAGTATAATCCGCTGTCATATGAAGACTGAAGAGGTATGCATGAACAGCAGACCGCTTTCCTTCAAGGAGCCATTGTTTTCCTAGATCTCCGCACCCATCTTTGTCAAATCTGTAGAGAGAAAGAGGCGATTGCAAATGGGAATGTTTATGGCCAGGGCTAGCAACTGGCACACATCTCTGTCATTGTCATGTTCAATCTTACGTCCATACCTAACTGCAAGGGTGTGGTAATAAGTAGCTGAGTGCACAAAAGGAAAAGGAAACAGATGGTAGGCAGCTCTGCTTCCTGTGCACTAATTCTGTCTCACTCTTGATGTAGGCCTATTTCTCACTGCTGAGAGGTATGATCAAAAACTGCAAAGAGTGTTTACTGTTTAAAAATGCATTACAGCAAAAACCATTAAACTCCCTGAAAACACTTCCCTTTCCTTCAAACTCACTAATCCTGTCATTCTTGCCACTCTGTGAAGCGGTTCTGGAAGTCCTCCTTGTGAGTGTCTTTATTTGCACCATGGTGGCTGCCTTGATGTCCTGAATTAATTCACAATGTCTACCTTTCGTGGTCATTTTGACTTTGGGGAAGAGCCAGAAGTCACACGTCCGATCTCACGAATAAGGTAGATAAGGTTGCACCGTGTGTGGAGAAGGATGTTCAACAGTTTACTTTACAATGTGTAACCTATGCTGGACTTTGAGCCTGACCAGGCCATGTGATTGTTCCGGAGGAAGTCTAGCAAAAGCATTAGTGTAAAAGGAAGTGAAAACAGGACTTTGGTCCCAGTGGAATGCTGCTAGGACAGCACGAGATGCTTTGCTATGTCTGAAGGAGGGATAACATGAAGGATAGGTAAGCCAAAATACAGTCCCTAGGATAGTTAAACTCTCATGTACTCACTAATCTGCACATTTCTCTTCCCATTTCCTATTTCTGTTTTTTGTAAAGACTAATAAGTAGCCAGAGAAAATTGCAATCTGGGATTCAGTCCCAGACAGTGGCTCTCCAGATACCATAACTTTGTCTGTTTTATCTGCTGCACCTCATTTTCGAGACCCGTCACCTCAGAGAAACCAGCAAGCCTGTTTTAGAAGCCTGCTTCCCACCGCGTGGCAGTGTGCAGCCTTTGCCCTACCTTGGCTCACACTCTGTGAAGGCCCACGCCAGAGGACCCTGGAACTGCTTCCGAAGGAAGCAAGAAGGATGGGGGAGTGGGCTCAAGGTATGGGGAAGTGTTTGAGGGGAATTAATGGCAATGGAGTTTCTACTGCAATGATTTTTAATACTCACTGCATACTTTGGTTACACCTCATATTGACATTTCAGTTCATCCTTGCTAGCAGCCCATGTCTAGTAACTGCTTGATCCCAAAAACGCATCCTTCAACTTTTCACTGTTTCTTGCCCTTCGTGTCCTTACTTTCCTTCTCACATAGCTTGGTTCATGGTCCATCGTTTTCACCATCCCTTGTATACAAGCTCAACTCACAGTCCTCTCCCATGTGTTCCTGTCTTGGTTAGTTTTCTCTCATTGCTGAGACAAAATACCCAACATCCAAAATGAAGGAAGGACTTATTTAGCTTACAGTTTGTGGAGGTTTCAGTCCATACTTGGTTGGCTCCAAGGCAGAAGATAACAAAGCAACAAGAGCAAAGGGGGGAATGGCAGCCGAACAGCAATGCAGCCAGAGCAAAAGGGCAGAATAGCACCAAGCAGCTTCTTTCCCTGCCTTACATTGTAAACAGGCTACCCCCACCTAAGGGACATGCAGCTCTCACATAATCTCCATGCCCTCCTCTTCCACAGACTCAGGATGTATATAAAGTAAGCACCCTGGCTTCCTGCTGAGTCACTTAGCCAAACCTCTAGACTCTCCAAGTTGACACAATGTATCAACCATAACAGTCCCCTCACAGTGTCCTGTTGGGAACACCCTCCGCCCCACCACTCACCATGCAGAAATACAGTGGAAGCGCCCACTGCTGCACTGGTGTGCGCGGCAGCTGTCTACATTCTCTGTATAGTCTTAGTTCTCCCGGTGTGACTCTCAGGGACTCAAAACTACATACTGCTGCACTTACTCTGGTAACCCCAATGCAGTACATAGCATATGGTAAACTGCACACAGCGCGCTCTATGCTTTTCTGAATAACTGTATCAGTGTTATCCTTGCTCCTGTATCAGCTTGCTGCCAGACAGGCACAGAAGACCCTCAAACGTCCTATTTCCAGAACTGGCAGGCAAGTTCAGAGAATATCTGAAACTGAGTGTAGTGGAAAATGCCTACGATCCTGTTACTCTGGAGGCTGAAGCAGGAAGACTGCAAGTTCAGGGACAGGCTAAACAATTTAACACGACTCTGAAACAAAAATAAGAATAAAAAGGCTGGGATGGAGCTCACTGGTAATGCTTGTCTAGCAACCATAATGCTCTTGGTTCAGTCCCCAGTAATGAAACACACACACACACACACACACGAATTTCCTAATATTAGGAACTAAAAAATTATTATTAATCTCATTAGTTGTGATGACTGTGGTTAGAAAGAAAAAGTGCCCCCGTTGTTGGAAATACACATTGAAGTGTCTGCAGTGAAATGCCAAGAAGCAAATGGAATTTAAAGTACTAATAACAAAATAGACAAAGCAATATGACAACATAATCATTGTCAGTCTAGCTACATGTATCTTCTAGTTCTAGACTACCATTTAAAATGGCAAATAAGAATATATTAAAACCCTAGAAGTTAATGTGATTGTCTTTAGGTAAATCATTAACAAATAATATCAAGATGATTAGGAGAAGGTATCACATGCTTGAGAAAGTACAGTATAGTATAATTTAAAAGTACCCAAAAAGTGTTTCCCATGAAGATAACCAAGGAGCAGCATTCTAAACTACCTATGGAAAACAGGAAGAGACTCATTTAGAAATAAAATGTTCACATTAAAGAAAATAAATTTCAAATACTACATGAGGAAGAAACTGTGATTATTTATTTCTACTTAGGGAAAATAAATTTTTATTTACATACCTTCTTAAATGTTACACATGTAAAAACAAAATATTCACCAGCATAAATAAATATAAATAATATTACAAAAATTTACAATTTGGCTACGAACATCTTCAGAAATATAGAATCTCATGTTAATATTTTACTATCTCTGGATATTTTGGGGGGTTCACTGTGTACTTCAGGCTGGCCTTAAGCTATGTAGCCCAGGTGGGGGTCAAACTCAAGGCAATCCTCCTGCCTCAGCCTTCCAAGTACTGGCATTACAGGTGTGCACCACTACACCTGGTCCAGGATACTTTTTAAAAGACATTAAATTAAAAATACCTCTCAAAAAGCTCTTTTCCTGAGGGAACAAAGTGAAGCAAAACAAAACAGATTGTTCTAGGGAAAAATTTCAGCTTATCTATCTTATTAGTAGTGGACTAAGAGCTGGCTCATTACCCGTTTTCTGTAACAAAGGGAGAAGCAGTCCTTCACTCTATGTTCCTCCCTTGCCATCAGCTAAACCAAGAAACACACATTCCTGGATCATTAACGTGTTATCCTTTAAAAATATTTTGCCAAAACCATTAGGATTCATTTTAATGAAATAAGTACAGATAAAAGTACTTTACATTTTAGGCATTATTTTAGAACGTGGTTCATGTTTTTGGCAATTTTGCTTAGACAATATGACATGCTTTTACTTTTGCTATCCAATTAATGTCTTTAACTTTTTATTTCCTTTTGTAAGTAAAATAATACACATCTAGTGAAAGAAATTCTGGATCCTGCTGTACGCATAAACAAATGTCTCTACTTCCCTATACTTTTAGGAAAGCGATCTTCTCCATTCTGTGAGTGCTTCTATTTTGAAGAGGCTTTCGGTGCACAGAGAATGTGACTCTGGATGGACTCCCATCCCCTCGTTTTGTTCACATTCCCAACACAGCCTAAAGACAACAGCAACATGCAAAGCAGAGTGCACTACCGGATTTATTGTATCTGTGCTGCTCCAGGAACTTATAACAAACTAGAACTATTCTGCGGAGGTGGGCAGTCTCTCTTAACTCTTCTTTGCCACGGTCAGCTAGCTGATGGTTACTAGCACCACAAGCAGAACTGCCAATTTTACACAGTTGTGTCCTGAAAGCAGAAAAAGAGAAGGTAAATTCAAAACGATTTTATTTACTGATGACAAACATCAGTTTTTAACTGCTATGTGATGAATTACTAGAAAGTTCATTAGTTTAGGCTGCAAAGCAAATGCAAAATTAGTAAGTTAAAAACTACTTCTGCGGGGATAGTTCAGTAGCTATAGCAACAATTAAATCATTTATCAACCTTAGATAAATGGTAGCCAAGTTAGACATTTAAAATAATCAAAAGTCAATGAAAATCCTCTGAATACTACATGTGGAAGAGATGCAGGATTTACTAAGAGATTAAGACACTTAGAAAGTTTCACAGATACATTTACATTGTTATTTTTAGGTACAGACATAAAAGGATGTCTTTAAAGATCTAAAATCATGACTTGTGAAGGGACCTTCACATATACTGTACTATTTCTTAAACATTGGACGGTCTAAAATCCAGCCAGGAAGAGAAGAAACATACAGGAGAGGCCAATCATCTCATTCTGCAAGTTGACACAAAAAAGCATCCTAAAGCCCTGAGGGGTCACCACTCATGGCCCCAATGCTGGTGCCCATTACACCATCGAATCGCCATGATGAACAGTGCGAGCACGAGATGAGATGATGAGCGTCCCCTCGCGAGGCAAGAATCCACGACGTGTGTCCAAGTGAGGAGAGTCAATGTTAGTCAACAAAGCAAAGCAGTTCTGCCGATAAGAGACTTAGGACTCGATCATCCACGAAGAGTCTGCAGAAACCCGAAGGCAGCTGTCTTGAGAGACACTTTGAGAGATACAGAAATGTGGCTTTCTTAAGCCGTATGTACCTTTTATAAATTATCAGGTGTTCTTATTTCTGAGGTAGCACCAGCCTCATTTAAATTATGAAATACAACATTGGGTGATTTGTTGTTCTCACGTGTCATATAATAGCTGGACGGTAAAGAGGGAAAAAACCTAACTGAATTATATATAATTTAAATTTCAAATAGGAAAATGAAACATTTACTTACACTCTTGTCCCTACACTAAAATTTGTCATAAAAACCCAAAAAGGATAAGGTTACATTATCATTTTCACATTCATTATCTTTATCCTCTGTCCTAATTAAATTCACATTTTAATTAGGTATGTAATCGGTTATGAACTATCAGACAGGCATAAAGTCAGCTCTTACCCTTGACAGCTTCAACTTCCAAAATAAAGCAAGTGGATTATTCTTTAAGTGTACAAGAACAAAAGCAAATTCAATCATAGGGTTTGGCAGGAATTTCCTGCCTTTCCTGCAAAATCTTAAAAACAACTCAAAAAAATACTCACATCTTCTTTGTCCCAACACCTTTCATCCTATTGAAAATATCCTGGCAAAGTGCTTCAACAAAGGGTGTGCAGAAGGTGATGACAGCCAAAGGGACTGACAGCATCACGTGCTGCCCCTCCTGACACACGGAGCCCCAAAGCACTGGCTTTGATGAACTGACACTAATAACCTAAAACACGATGAATAAATAGCACTAAAACTAGAAATCTGGGACAAGAAACTACTTAAGATTGATGGTTAAAAAATAGTTTAGAGTGATTTTTCTTTTTTTGGTCTTTTTGATACAGGGTTTTGCTGCGTAGTTCAGGCTGGCCTTGAACTCACTTGTAGCCCAGGCAGGCCTCGAACTTGCACTGATCCTCCTGCCTCAGCCTCCCGGGTGCTGGGATTATAGATGTGTACCACCACACTGGGCTTTTCAGAGTAATTCTGATGAGGCATCTATCCCAACTTTATTTTGTAAGACCAGTAACTCTGGTTTTGCTAGACTCAAACAACATTCCTTAAAAAGTCTGAAAGAGTTGCATCTCACTGCATTTGCTGTTGTAGCAGTTAGAATATTAAACAAATACCTGGAAAAAAGATTTACTTTCCCCATCACCCACCCCAAGACATAATGGTCCAATATTATCTATCAAGACTGAATCATTAAAAAAAAAAAAAAAGAAAAAAGACCGAATCATTTAGCAATTTAAAGATTCTCTATACACTTTTAACAGGCTTAAATATTGCTGTTAATTTAAGGAAAAGGAAAAATGTTAAAGAGGCTAAGAAGAAGATACCCTGCATAAGCCAAAGAATTAAAATAGGTAATTTAGTAATGACATTAACATGAAGCTATAAATTAATGAAAAAAATGAAGGGGCACTGGGGCAGCTTAGGAATAGCTCAAGCTTGTATGTATTCTACAACTGTTTCTGAACAATCAGACTTCCCAAACCAGCCCCATTTAAATCATTCTGTTAGTCAGCTGCATACAGAGCCAATCAGGATATTTATGTTTCACTTGTGGACTCAGTGGAGAGGAGATATTCAAATACTTCTTTCCTTGTTGTCTTGACATCTGAATGTTTACTGTGAGCTAAGCCATACTCCCTTCCACCTCTTTAGAGGTGACAACTTCTTTGATGCTTAGTATAATCCCATGAGGTAGATGAAATTTTCCCCATCTTACAAATGAAGAAACTGAAGCCCAGAAAGGTTAGGTGGATCATGGCCTCACAGCTTGTAAACAGCAGACCCAGAAATCAAGCTGCACAGTTGCACTCCAGAGCCTGCCCTCTTAATCCCCAAACTGTTTCTGCCCAGACTAGTATCTATTAATACAAAGCGGAAAAATGCGTAACCATAGGCAGTGTAACTATGTTAGAGGTTTGTCTTTTCCTAGATTTTTTTGTTTCTGTACAATGCATAGGCGTTTATCATAAGTAGAGAAAAAAGAACTGATTAATAGATCAGAAAGTGAGACTTTGGTTTTCCAATCACTTTTCGGGGGGTGGGGGGGAAATGTGGTTATTATCTTTGCTTATACTGAGAAGAAAAAGGAGGAGGAGGAGGTAGTAGTAGGGAAGAAGAGGAAGGGAAGGGGAGAAGGGGAGGAGGGGGCAGGAAGGTGAAGAGGAAGAAGAAAAAAGAAAAAGAGGAGGAGGAAGAGGAGGAAGAGAGTGCTGCCGCTGCCAGCATCTGTTCTTCCAGAGCAGTATTATGACTGCAGACAGAAAGGATGTAGAGGCACACGGCAAGTGCACACACACACAGCCAACCCGAGACAGTCACCTATAAAACAGCATCGAGCTGCACGGGGAGAAAAGTGAAGAATAAAGTTCTCAAAATCATCAGAATTTCTGCTCACCCTGATTTTCCACGGTTCCACAAGAACTTGGCTAGAACTAGACTACCAGTTATTGTAATACCGGCAATAACGACTCCTTGAGGGAGACAAAATGTGGTGGCATAGTTAATAGAAACACGAGCAATTGTATTTATACTACAGTTTCACAGTGACATACACGGTAATACAAATCATGTGAAGAAAAAATAGGAACATGTTACTCATGTCACAAGTTTGACACTAACAAGTGCATATTATTGGTTCTGTTTCCTTTGAAAGAAAAAGAAATAAAATGTTGAAAATACCACAGGGCTCACATAAATATTTTTGACAGGCTTGAGAGGATCGTACAGTATTCATTCCCACACAATCATGCTCCATTTTAAATGTTAAATGACTGTATTGCATAACTTTAGGGCTAAAGGTGTATTGAGTTCACATTTATCTTGGAGGCGAATGAGGTCTCAGAAAGGTGAAAGTTACCATATGCAGCTCCTGGGGGCATCTGCTTAGCTCAGAGTGGAGACAGCCCATGGTTCTCCCAGGACAGATGCTGCACGGTAAGACCCAGGGCCAATTATATCCACTTCGCCTATCCAGCATGCTCCTCACGCTCAGGCCACTGTGCATGAAATTTCAAGTAGGCAACCTGTATCTACTTCTGAGATTGAAAAGTGCTACTCCGAGCTTAATAGCAGCAAATAATTAGATAAACTGTCAACCACAAATCACCTTTATAAGCTTTGCTTTTTATAATCTTTCTTCCCCAAACCACCCATTTGTACATTCCCATCCCAATTCTCCAATTTTCCCCTCCTCTCCCCTCCAATATCCCTGGACTCTACCCTTTGGTCCGTGCTTCAAAGGAAATTACAGATGACACTAAATACACAACCAAAGCTAATATGCCAAGTGAGTGTATTTGGTTCCAAATCAGCAAAATACAAATACTGTACAAATTTTTTTAAAAACTTGCTATTTCCACAGCAGGTATACTTTACAATACTCTCCCTGTCAGTGCCCTTAGCCGACTTCCTTGGGCTGTACCGTCAGCTCAGAAAGACTACAATAAACTGCGACTTTTCCCATCTCCAACTGTGAGCTCCTCTCCGTACTAGCTCCTAGGACTCCACCATTTTAATATTGCACTTGGAATTTAAATGAAAGCAGAAAATTTAGAAGTGATCGAGAATATCAGGATGACAGAAATAAAAGACCGTCCATGTGTTAGGGAAACCTAAGAGGGTGGAGGATAGGTTTGGTTCTTGCTCATAATCATACTTGATATAGCAACAGGATACAGAACTCATGGACAGAGGAGGTCACGCCAGAAAGAGACTTGTAGACAGAAGATAGATGTGCTCAAGCAGACCTTAAAATTTCAGATTTATAACGCAGATGCAGTGTTACTTCCCCAAAGCCGCATCCCCAGAACGCCCGAAGTGCCATCATGATCACTGGATTCTGTCTCTGTATTTCAATTTTTTTTTTTTAAAGAAATTAAAAAAGACTAAACCTATCACAGCAAACTTGAATGATGATCTGACTTCTTAACCCTCAAACACAGGTGGCTGATAGAATTGCGTTATAGTGAAGTATAAACGCAGCACACACTGGGACACGGGACGAGACACAGCGATGATGCTGGCTTAGCGCCCTATCCATTTCAAATACATACTCCGATTCAAGACTCTTGCAAGTACACTTATATCTAGGCTGGCTGCAATATATTCCAGATTCAAGAAGACATATAAAGGGTAAGTAAGTACATAGATGATAAAGGATATAGAAGAAATATTTTATGCACTTCACTGTGTATTCTTTATCTGTTACATTTTTTCAACTGACCCCTAAAGGATTTATGAATGTCACAATACAGGGTATCAGAAATGCATGAGAAAATAAAGCAACAGCAGTAGAGAGTAGTAGGCTCCCTCCACTATTTAGTTTGACTTACACAGTCTTGTCCCGTCACTAGGAGGAGACTCTACCTTTTAAAGTACCTCGTACTAGACCAACTAGTTACTGCCTCTGTTTACTGCCTACTAGGCTCTGTACCTCAGGCCAGTTAAAATCATACAAAACCATAGTTTTCCCCACTGAAAAAATAGAAAACAAATGCTAGTATTATAGGGTTGTTTTGAGAAGCAATGAAATAACACATATAAAAATCTCAATAGTATTTGCTGTGTAACAAGCATGTAAACATTAACTGAATGAAAAACTCTTCTTTCCTGTGGTGTGGGCAGAGGGAATGATAAAATGGTTAGAAATCCACCTTAAGGAAATAACAGTTAGTGCATACTTTGACTCCTAGAAGGTCACAGTCATTCAACTCCTGGCATAGGCAGTGAGTTCTCATATCCTTTAGAACAATAAGTGCCAAAGACTTCACATAACAATAATAGCCGGTGTGGTGGTACATGCCTATAATCCCAGCACTTGGGAAGCTGAGACCTGAGCATCACTAGGAGTTTGAGGCCAGCCTGGGCTATATAGTGAGTTTGAGGCCAGCCCAAATTACATAGCGAGACCCTGCCTGAAAAACAAAACAAAGCAAAACAAAATCATGGTCTTCATCTCATAAATGAGAAAATAGGGACTCTGAGAAATCGCCTTAATCATTCAGATTGAATATTTGCCAAATAAAAACAGATTCAAACCAAGGTCTGACTGCAAAGTACGTATTTTTTTCTTCTTATATATAATATAATCTTGAAAAACAATAAAACTATATAGAACATGTATTCTCTACAGGAGTAATAGTCCAAGAAAATATACAGATATATATCTAGATCTAGACAGAGATGGAGACAGAGATAGAGGAATTGATATACAGTACATAGGTGGAATTAAAACGTCATGGGGAGATGACTAGGGAAAAATGTCTAGATAGGTCCTTAGCAGAGAGAAAGGAAAAATAAAAAAAAAAGAAATATCAGTACAAAGTCAGTGGAGGAGTACCTTTAAAATGCATAACACCATCATTTACAAGGCAAACTGGGAAATTCTTCCACACCTGTTAGTCTCTGTTAGTGTAATTAAATGGGGGGAAAAATCAAGCATTTGCCATATTCTAGTATCATCTACATCATTCACTTACATTGCAGTACATATAATCAACAAGATAATTTCCTGGCAATATAATTTATTTATCTTTAAAGCGAGATAATGGCATGAGCCACGTAATAAATTTAAGTAAGGATAATTTTCAGATTTATATAAGAGTATAAAAAATGTTGCTATACATCTGATGTAGGAAGGAGCCGCTCTTTATGTTTTAGCATAAGCTAAGGTTACAACCAACCCTGAGGAGAGTTTCCTAGGAAGTAAGCCACGGGTATACACCTCAACAATTTCAGAGAAGAATAAGCACTTCCAACCTTCACTGAGCACCACTGGGCAACTGAGAAATAGCTCATCTATTAAACCCGTCACTTCTGTGAACTTTAAATCATTAAATCATGAGATTTTTTTTCATTCAGAATACATTTATTTCTATTTAAAGTATAAACAGAGTGAATTCCAATTGTCAGAACTGCTCAAGATCAATTTTTTAGCTTTAAAAATCTCTTAGCATTTAAAATATAAAATAACCACTTATAAGTAACAAGAGTAGTAGTAACAATAACAAAATATCTGCTCTCAGATTTAATGTCCTTTGGCATGCATAAAATGGGGGACTTCACTGTAAATACATAGTTAAAAATAAACACTTTATTATAAAATTGTATTTTCTATTGGATTTATCAGTATGCCGATGTAGTTGTACTTCCCGTAAACAAATATTTTTCTTACCATCTTCTTTAGGAGTTTCTTAATCTTTTTAATGCATAACAGAAAATAACATTTATGGACAAAGCAAAAGACCGAATGAATTACTAGAACAAACTGCTGCACAGGTAGGTACTTTGGGCCTCAGGTCTACAGCAACAGAATATTATTTTTTAAAGAAACTTGCTTCTAATAACTAACAGAGAAGGAGGAAAGGGGATGCTACCATCAAAGGTGGCATTCTATCTCAGATGGGACAGGACAGAGATCTAGAAATGGTCATTAAGTTTATGCTTATAAAAAAACACTTGAAGATTTCAAAACACTGTTTCATGCTCATGGTTCTTCAGTCCCTAGAATGATGAGCAGACACAGTTGGCATTCAACACTACTCCCCTGATTGGCCAAACGATCTGAAGTTGTCCTAGAATTACCTTGGAGCAAGAACATGGCTGGGAAACCGAAGAAACATATCGAGTACCTAGTGGTGTCCACAAGACATGCTGGTGAAAGGCTTTCACCTGTTTTCTCTTAGGCACCCGTAAACAGCGCATTCGGATAGTTCTCCTGAGACAGTTAAAAGACAATATTCTCTTCCAGAAATATGGACTATATGTCTTACACTGATGGCAATTTCTTTCAACTGCCTGAGAGCCAGACTTACCATATATCACACCGCTGTAACCTAAAAAAAGAGAATAAAACAAAAGTTTAAAAGTAAAAAATGTTGTGATTTACTAGTCACTATGTATATAAATATGTATCAATAAACCACTTGAAAGCTCAAATGTAACTCAAATTTCCATAATCAACAGAAATTAAGGAATTTGTACAATGTCTATTTGAGTTAACAATATAAACATAAATGACAGGTACTGAAAACAAAAACATCATCTAACTTTGACCTGTAACTTGATGGCAAGAAGTAAGCTTGAACAACTTGAATAGTAAATAGTTGCTGACCCAATCCTACGGACAAGAAATTACCAGAAACATAAATCCCTTTCAGTAGGTTATAACCAAATTTGAAGTTACTATATCATCCATTTGAGTCAAAAACGTTATATGAAAAAGGAGATTATTCAGTCTTGCAGCATTAAGGGTCAGGGTCATATTGCCATCATAGCCCATTAGATCCACACACAGGAAACCTGACAGTGTCAACTGACCTGAAGCCAATCCTTTCTCTTCAGGTGCTGTTGTAGGAGGCTTTGTGGATGTCCTGGGGTCAGGTCCACGCTTAGTTGCTGTAATACGAGCAGAGGTGAACCTTTGTGTAACTGAGACATGTTTAGGAGTGGACTTGTGTCTTGCTGGAAGAGTCTGTGTAAATGAAGCTTTCGCTGTGGTGAATGTCTGGGTTGCTGGTGTGGTCTGTGTAGCAGAAACATTACCCATCGTGGGATTCTGGGCTGCTAGTGGCATCATTGTAGATACAACATTTGCTACGGGGGATGTCTGAGCTGCGGCTGGGGCCTTTGTGGCTGAACTATTTGTTGTGGTACGTTTCTGAGTAGTTAGTGGGGCTTTTGTATCTGAAATGTTTATTGTGATGGTTTTCTGAGGCATTGGTGAGACTTCTGCATCTGGAACATTTACTGTGGTGGGTTTCTGATGAGTTGGTTGAACTGTAGCTGCAATATTTACTGTAGTGGGTTTCTGAGGAGTTGGTGAGACTCTTGTAGCTGGACTATTTACTGTAGTGTGTTTCTGAGGTGTTAGCTGGATTTCTGTAGTTGGAGCATTTACTGTGGTATGTTTCTGAAGTGTTGGTCGGATTCTTGTTGCTGGGATATTTACTGTGGTGGGTTTCTGAGGTGTTGGCTCATCTCTTGTTGCTGGAATATTTACTGTGATGGGTTTCTGAGGTGTTG